GGTTATAGCTACAGTTACCCTACTTATAACCCTAGTCACAACTACCCTTTGAACCTCCATGCAAAACACGCAACACCCTTGGAAGCCCTGCAAGCCCTAGCAAACCCTGAAATTCAAGGACTCCCAAGAAGCGTCAAGGGTTTAGGGTTTAGGGCTCTCCCCAAAAGCAGCCCTTATAAAGTAACCCTGCAAAACCCCGCAAAACTACTAAAGCCTAAACCTGGAGATCCTTCTAGAAGGAACCCACACAGAAACCCGCAAAGGAAACTAAAAAATCTCTGTGATGCATTGCCTTGAAATCCTAAACCCTGAACCCTAAACCCTAAAGCCTGAAGCTTCAACCCGAACCCTAAACCCTGAACCCTGAACCCACACCCTGAACCCTAAACCCTAAACCCTGAACCCTGAACCCTAAACCCTAAACCCTAAACCCTAAACCCTGAACCCTAAACCCCAACGGGAACCTCGGGGATGTAGTGTTCCATGAGGTTCCTGATGCCCATGTTCAGCGTGACGCTGGATTTGGGACAACCGGAGCAGGCACCTGAGTCTTTTCAGGGTTTTAAGGCTTAGGGGTTTTGGGTTTAGGGTTTAGGGTTTAGGGGTTTAGGGGTTTAGGGTTTAGGGTTTAGGGTTTAGGGCTTAGGGTTAGGAGTTATAGGAGTCTATCCAGGTCTTACAGGGCCTTATGCTGCTTCATCGTGGTGTATGGGGTTATACCAGCGTTTTGTAAAGGATTCTTTACAAGGTGGGTGCAAGAGGGCTTTGGATGAGTTTGGGCTTCAAGCTTAGAGCCAGAGCAATTCTGTTCCTGAGGCCTTCGGGTCTAGGACAGGTACCTCAAGCCCTAAAACCCAAGCCGACACCCTTCAAAGTGCACCCGAGGTACCGATCATCCGCAGGTAGAGCACGCCACTGTCGTGGTCGAATCTGTCGAACTGCACGTCGCCGCCGTCCTGCAGAACCGCGGCTTGAAAGTTTCGGGCTACGGGCTCTGGGGTTTAGGGCTTCTGGGTTTGATGGTTCAGGGGCTTTGCTGCGTAGGAACGGCGTTTTATCGGGATTCTCTAAGTTTTATGTTTTATTATAGGGTCCAGTCTATAATCCCGCATTCTGCGGTTGCAGGGCGTCCTGCTGGACGAAAGGTCTCACGCGCTCCTCGAGCAGGTCGAGGATGCGGCCCTGTCGCAAGGGCTGGACTTAGGCTTCAGGGTTCAGGGTTTAGGGTCCAGGGTTTCAGTTTAGGGTTTAGGGACCCTAAACCCTAAACCCTGTACGGCTTGTAGAAGGGTTGAAATGGGAGTACCCCATAAGTGCCCCCGAGAGCCTCGACGCTCTCTGGATCAAGGTTCGCTTGGACCTCGGTTCAGAGGACGAAGGGTTGAGGGGGTCTCTAGAAGGATTCCATACAGGTTCAACAAAGGCTCTATTGAAGCCTATACGGGTTCTGCTGGGATTCTACAAGGGTTTAGGGTTAGGCATTTGGGGGCTGAGAATGTAGGGCTCAGGGCTTCGACTTCGTACTACGCTATAACTAGATGGGGACTAAAAAGGGGATACCATCTCTACTACAGGGGCCTTAATAATTAGAATAGGGTTTGGGGGCCATTATACTATCTTTATAATAAGGAACCCCCAAAATAGTATTGGTAATTATTTTCGCCCCTACATTCATCCTAGCTCGCTGGTTGACATGGCAAAGTCTGCGATTTCGATCGAGCAGCGACGCCCCGGGACACCCCGTCGCGGAGGGCCTGTCACAGGCTCTCGGGTTGAGGGTTGAGAGCAGGCCTGAATAACTACTTGCAATCTCTTTGAGGGTTCCCTAATATATCTACAGCATAATATGCCCCCAAACCCTATTCAAACAACAGTCCCCGATCTTAGTAGGATCATTTTGGGTTGAAAATCCCTGAATAAGGTGCCCCCTGTTTTCTGGAAAGGGATGGAGGTGAATCTGTCGCATAGGGGGTGTAGTGTGCTCACCTACTATAAGATGTAGTACCAGCCACACCTAACCGGCACTTGCGGCGGCTAAGCTAGGGGATTTCTAGTGGAGCCGTGCTCTAACAATAGCTGACGACATACGGGACCTTATGCAGTCCCCCCAAGTAGATGCTGACGAAGTCAGCAACATGGAAGCAATAATCAATATACGCAGACGAGACCTCGCTTCCCCAACATTCCACGGAGATCGTGCAAACCTTCCAAAGCAGCTGCAGCTTGCGAGAACCCAACAAGCCGCAAGCTTCGACGGTTTATCAGGGCTTAGGGTTTCTTCCTCCAACAACAGGGACTTCCCAGCCCGTGCGTTCCGACATCACGGCACTTTTTGCACTCGCGGACGCTTTTGGGAAAGAGGCTCCTGAGAGCTCGTCGACTGAGAGTTGCAGGCTTGTGGGCTTGTGCCGTACATGGGTCTTCATGATTGAAACAAGGCATTGGGGGTACATGGCCGCGTAGTTATGTGCGGGTTAGAATACAGGATCCAAGGCCAGCTCGTCCGTTTGGGGCACTGAATTCCACATCACACAAAGACTTCGAGTGTATGTTTCGGTATCACCGGTACAGGCTATACGGCAACATCTGGAAACATGCTAAAGCCTGCACCTGCAACCCTGATCCTCAGCAATGTGGAGTGAGCAGGACTACGGTTTCAGTAAAAGTTGGCAAGGGGGGGCACATGAACAAAGCGGCATGGACCCGCGAACTTATAGACTCAAGCCCGAACCCGAAGCCCTACAATCACTAAGGCCCCTTCTATCGTAACAAACCCTAAACCCTAAACCCTAAACCCTAACTGAAGGGTTCCTGGACAAGGAGCCCCAGGAGCCACAACTTTCAGGCTCTAAACTCGGGTCTCAGAGCTCCCAGCCGGGGAAGGACGACCTGAGCAAGGGTCTTCGGCACTTCTGAGGCCTCCAGGGTTTAGTTTCGGGTTTAGGGTTTAGGGTTTTTTTAGGGTTTAGGGTTTAGGGTTTAGGGTTTTTTTTAGGGTTTAGGGTTTAGGGCTTAGGGTTTAGGATAGTGCTTCGGGAGTATAGGGTTTAGAACCGTGTTGCGGGGCTACAGAAACGGATGATTAGGGGTTAGAATTTAAGGCCTTCCTAAGTATAGCGTTTTGGGGGTATAGGGTTTGGGGCTTAGAATTCGTGTATTGGTGACATATGATCGTACGATTATAGGGTCTCTACGGTATCTAGGAGTGGAAACTGAAGCCTTTGATAGGTAGCATAGTGTGTTGGGGATGTAGGGTCTTGTCTAGAACAGTGTTTTGGGGATACCTCCCCGTAGAGCCGTAGGGTATCTAAATGCTTTTAATTGGGGCCTTAGAGGGCATTGTTTCGGTGCCTTGATGGCTAAGATAGTGTTTCGGGGATATAGTACACTGCACAAACTGGGCACTTAGGGGCTGAAATCAAAACTCAGATCTCTGTCGCGAAATACCTTGGAGTATATTGCAGTACAGTTATGTTCAGGCGATAATAAGCGGCGATAAACCCTGAACCCATACCCCCCGGCCTTTCTGGCGCAGCCATGTCCAGCAGGAAGCAGAAGAGGCCAGCCTCTGACTTCCCCGACACCGATGAGGGCTTGGGGTTTGGGGTTTAAGGTTTAGGGTTTAGGGTTTGGGGTTTAGGGTTTAGGGCTTGGGGTTTGGGGTTTCAGGGTTCAGAGCTTAGGGTTTAATACAAGGGGCCTGAATAATTAGAACAGGGTTTTGGGGCCCATTATACTGTATTTACCATAAGGAGCCCCCAAAATAGTATCCGTAATTATTTAGGCCCCTACGTTAGGGCTTCAGGGTTCAGGCTTTGGGGTTCAGAAGTTAGCGTTAAGGGTTCTGGCTCGAGGGTGTGGCTTTAGGGACTCCGCAGGTTGGAACATCCGGAGTTGCTTTATATTTTCGGGGGCCTTGCTACGTAGAACAGGGCTTGGAGGTTCATTCTACCATAGTATGATTATGGGGCTCTGGTGAGTGTTCTTACTTCTAGCTTCTATATTGCTGTTAAGCTTCGGTCTGAATGCGTAGTTGCGCTACGCCGGGTCTACATACGATGACAGGGGTCCGTCATGTTCTGAAGCTCCGAAGTGGCGACTGCTTGTCGGATGAGGGGACTATGTAAGTAGGTTATAAAGTACCCAGATCCTCGAAGTATTGCATTCAACAACGTGTCGGTGTTCAGGGCTTGTGAGACTCGTGATCATCGTCATGATGGATGTGAGAACGAAGCTTTCGCTCGTCGCCGTCGTCGTGGCTTTCATCGCAGACAAAATGATGTTGATGATGATGCTGATAAGCCCCAAACACTAGCATCCTCCTTCATACGCAACCCTTAACAACAACATCACTACGGGAACCCTAAAGCAGCCCTAAACCCGAAACCCTAAAGCCAACCCACAGGCAGCGTGAGCCCCGCACGTCGCCCTCCATGAGGCTCAAGGGCGAGTCGGGCACTCCGCGGACCTCGGCATTCTCTTTTTGAGGCTTTAGGGTATAGGGCTTAGGGTTTAGGGGTTGAGGGCTTTAGGGCTTTAGGGTTTAGGGCTCAGGGCTCAGGGCTGAGGGTTTGGGGTTCAGGGCTTGGCAGATGAGGCTCCCAGAGGGCCCACAGTCAGGGTGCAGGGTTTAGGGGTTAGGGGTTCAGGGTTTAGGGGTTTAGGGTTTAGGGGTTCAGGCTTTAGGGGTTTAGGGGTTTAGGGTTTAGGGGTTTAGGGTTTAGGGTCTCATCTGGGTGCCCACGGTGCTTTAACAATGGTTCTGAGCAGTTCTATGGTGCACCTGCGGGATTTTGTAAGGGTTCTATGAGGTTCCGATAGGGTTCAAGCAGGACCCTAAACCCTAAACCCTAAACCCTAAGGTTCAAGCAGGGTTTTGTAACGAGGTCAAGTTTGGGCTGTAGGACTCTGGGACTCTAGGCCTTGGAAGGAACCTTAGGGCCTATGGCTTCTACTGTTGAAGGACAGTATAGCACCATAAATCCCATAGTTTAGGGTTTAGGGTTTAGGGTTTAGGGTTTAGGGTTTAGGGTTTAGGTATAATGAGGTCATGCAGGATTTTGTCCATCAACCGTATGGAAGGAACCCAAGTCTCAATAAGAAACCTACGAAGCCCCATTTAAAAACCCCCTGCGCACCCCAAAAGCCGGAGCCCAACACCCCGAACTCAGCGCCGCCAATGCTCCCCCAAGCTCTAGACCCTAAAGACGTCTGAAAACGGTTTCGGGTTTGGGGTTTAGGACGCAATTCCTTGGGTTCATCATGCTAACTACTTTATACTACAATCTACCCTAAAGCTCTTCCCTATAAGTAAAAGACTAAGGTCCCTAGACGATACCCCCTACACCCTGTAGAACCCGTTTAGAGAACCCTTAAAGCTCCCTGCAAGAAGCCCTTGACGGACCCTCCTCTACTTTAGCCTTTTCGTACCAACAGAAGCCCTGTAGTAATAGGGGCCTTATAACAACTAGAATAGGGTTTTGGAGTTTTGGGATCCTTTGTACTAAAATTATAATAAGGAGCCCCCAAAATAGTATAGGTAATTACTGAGGCCCCTATATTAACCCCCAAGGAGCCCATGTCCAATCCCAAACTTCGGCGCGAGGGAAGTGGCCAGTCGTTGCTGGTCCGGTTGGCGCCGGATCGCCTCCTGAAGCCTTGGTCGAAGCAGCGGGCCACAGGATTTTATAGGGTTTACTGGGGCTGATAGGGTTCTGTAGGTTTTCAAACGGCTCTTGTCTGATACCTTAGAAGGGCCTGCAGCTTAAAAGCGGTACTTGACCTTTCCTTCTGCACGCTCATCAGAAGCCCCGTTGCTTTCTCCCTAAACCCCTAGAAACCCCTAAAGCCCTAACATTCAGCCCCAAACCATAAACCCTAAACCCTATACCCTAAACCCTAAACCCTAAGCCCCAAACCATCAATAAACCCCAAACCAGGCATCCCGCTCCGGCTGCTGCATCATCGACGCGAAGGCCGTCGCCCGGCCGAGGTGCGACGCATCTCCCTGAGCCCGGTACAAGCCTCGGAAAGGCGGGTACAGGGTTTAAGGTTTAGGGCTTCTAGGGTTTAGGGTTTAGGGTTTAGGGTTTAGGGTTTTTAGGGTTTTTAGGGTTTAGGGACGTACTATATTCAAGGGTTGGCATCCGGGTCCTTTAAAGGGGCTACTAGAAGGGTTCGTATTCCGGGTGTAAGGCTTCGGGGGTGAAGAAATGGCCGCATAGCACGAAGCTTTCGCGCGATGATGACCATAAAGCGTGAACCTTTGAAATGCTATCATCATGGCGATAATGGGGGCATGATGGCAATGACACCAACAACATTGAAAAGCCGATTGGAGTGTCAACCAGAAGAACGCATGCGCAGCAGGGTGACGAAAAAAATACGATGAACAACCAAACCTGTTCTCACAATCAGCAGCGCTGCCATCGTACTAGCAAGCAGGACGACAGTCACAGGCATACTCATCACAAGGCTTCTGACAAACCTGACAATCATCGGAATCATGTCAGTGCTGGACATGGATTTTGTTGGAAGGTTCCTGGACAGTGTTGAATTATCCGGTATTTTAGTAGGGACTTCAGAATATGTCTGAGGGGCTTTCCTAGGGTTTGGGTTACGGTGTTTATGCAGGGTTTGGGGTTTAGCGGTTCATACGGGGTGTAGGGTTTAGGGTGTAAAGCTGAGGTGGCCACAGTTGAACTTACCACGCTTCTGCCCCGCTGTGAAACACTGGAGGATCCTGGCAAACAGCCTGGGGCATCCTAGATGAACGCCCACCAAGTACCGCGAGCTTCAGAGAATGAGGTGCCCTCGTTACTCATGTCTGCCCTGACTGGACGGACGTTGACATCGGGGTCCTAACCAACAAGACCCACCCCTCAACTTCAAGAAAACCCTAGTAGCCGCAGCCCCCTAAAGTCTAGGGTTTGGGGTTTAGGGTTTAGGGTTCGGGGTTGAGGCTTCAGGGAAGCCTGACCCCTAAATTCGAAGCCCTAGACCTATGAGCCGTTTAGGCAAGGGGCTCAAGAAGGAGTAGGCATTGCCGGAGACGCCATGACAGAGGCCGAGGCCCTGGCATGTTGAGGGAAGTCAAGACTTGATATTGTAAGGAATAATCACAGTTCAACATGTATCTGTATGTATATATAATGTGGGCGCTTTCGGCGTTTTGGGGTTAAGGGTTGAGGGTTTTGTGGTTGTGCTTTGGGCGTTTTGTGGCTTGAGATTTAGGGAGAAGGGTTTGGGGCGTGTTGTGATGCCCCACACCAGACCAAAAACTCGCCGCGACACCTCTCCGAAGCCAAAACCCTAACACTTTAGGGTTTAGGGTTTAGGGTTTAAAACCCTAACACTCTGCCCGAAAACCTTCTGGGTCCAAGGCTTCCTGAACCCGCAAGTTCCCCATTTCAAAGTGCCCCTATAGGGGGCCCGAAACACCCTGCAACGCTGCTTCACCCACGAAAAGTGCACCCCCGTAGACACCTAGGCCCTATATACCCTAAACCCTAACCTCTGAACCCTAAACCCTAAACCCTTAACCCTGAACCCTAAACCCTAAACCCTGAACCCTGAACCCTGAACCCTATACCCTAAACCCTAAAGCCTGAACTCTAAACCCTGAATCCCAAACCCCACAACGCAAAAACAAATTAATGTAGGGGCCCTGTAATAATAGACTAGGGTTTTGGGGGCCCCTTATACTATAATTATAATAAGGAACCCCCCCCAAAGAAAAAAAAAAGAGTAGGTTATTATTTAGGCCCCTATATTACACCCTAAGCCACTAAAGCCTAAAACTCGAAAACCCTAAAAGCCCTAAGCGCTAAACTCCTACACAGGGACTGAGCCAAGGTTTTGGGGCCCATTATACTATAATTATAAGGAGGAACCCCCAAAATAGTACAGGTTATAAGCCCCTATAGCATCCCACAGCCTTTAGGATGAGCCCCCGCTTCCACACCACCTCCCCGGCCTCCGCGGAGCGGGGGAGAAAGCCAGGGTTTAGGGTTCGGGGTTTTAGGGTTTAGGGTTCGGGGTTTAGGGTTTAGGGTTTAGGGTTGAGGGCTTAGGGTTTAAGGGTTCGGGGTTTAGGGTTTAGGGTTTAGGGTTCAGAGGTTGGGGTTTAGGGTTTAGGGTTCAGGGTTTAGGATTTAGATGCGCTTTGTTGGGGTGTTCGTAGGAATTCAAATGGGAATTTAGAATTTTAATAGGATTTTAGTAGGGTTCTAATGGGTGGGAGTGAATGGAGTTTAATCGGATTTCAATGCCGCCGGCTTTTGCTCGCCTCCTTCAAGGCTCACTGATTAGGGTCTTCACGTTTCGGGCGGGAGGGCTTTTCGCGTTGGGGTTCCATGGCTTTCGAAATCACCAGAAGTTTACGTTTACCCTAAACCCTAAACTTCCCTAAACCCTAAACCCTAAACCCTAAACCCTAAACTTCCCTAAACCCTAAACCCTAAACCCTAAACCCTAAACCCTAAACTTCCCTAAACCCTAAACCGGGGATCTTCGGGATTGAAAGGTTTGGGGCTCTTCGGTCTGAATTCCTTGTTGGAGTTTAGGGTTTAGGGTTTAGGGTTTAGGGTTTAGGGTTTAGGGTTTAGGGAGTTTAGATTTAGGTGCGAAGCGGTTACAAACTCCCGCTTCCAAACCCCCCGTTGCGAAGCCTCCGACACCCTAAACCCTAAACCCTAAACCACAGACCTTGAATACTGCAGGGGCCTTAGAAATTAAAATAGGGTTATGGGGCCCATTATACTATAACTATAGTAAGGAACCCCCAAAATAGTATAGGTAATGATTAAGGCCCAAAATTGTTTAGAATAGTATAGGGGCCTAAACAATCCTTTATTACAAATAGTATAATGGGCCCCAAAACCCTAGTCTAATGGCCCCTACATTAGCCCATGGACTTGTGCACGGTGCCTGTTCTGCGGCCCTCCTTAGCGACCCGTCGGCATCGCCAAGGACCTGCCACGATCCAAAGCCACAGCTGCAAAGGGTGTGCATGTCTTTTCGGCCTTGGGGCATTTAAAAAAAGGGGCTTTGGGTCTTTTGTAGTATAATGATGATAAGGAGACCTCAGGGATAGCGATAGTGACACTAAGTGTGTTCTACCTCAGAAACTGCTTTCGTAAGACGCTGCAACTACGTCTGGCAGACCGCCGCGGCGAGGAGGAAAAGCGCTGGTAGCCCGGACCTGCGCCCAGGGCCACCCAAGAAACGAAGGCAAACAATCAACCCTAAGCGCCGAAATCTTAAAGTAGGGTTATAAGTACCTTAATTGGGGTTATATGTAACTATAAGTAAGTAATTATAAGTATAGTTGAGCATAGTTGCCTCTCGCGCTTGGTGCTTAGGCTCCGGATGTCGCCATCACAGAGAGCATAAGCAATGCAGAAGTTTTGAGTAACATACGACGTGGCTT